GCTGACGCATTACACCCTTCCTTGACTTAAGCAGACCCGGGGAGGCCAGATGATGCATTACACCCTTCCTTGACTTAAGCGGACCCGGTAGGGCCAGCTGACGCATACACCCTTCCTTGACTTAAGCCGACCCGGGGAGGCCAGCTGACGCATTACACCCTTCCTTGACTTTAGCGGACCCGGGGAGGCCAGCTGACGCATTACACCCTTCCTTGACTTAAGCGGATCGGGGAGGCCAGCTGACGCATTACACCCTTCCTTGACTTTAGCGGACCCGGTAAGGCCGGCTGTCGCATTACACCCTTCCTTGACCTTAGCGGACCCGTTAAGGCCGGCTGACGCATTACACCCTTCCCAATTGCCTAATCGATCGCAACTGTCAGGCATACACAGACAACCGTTCATTCTTACCTCTAATTTCACAGAATCTCCTTTAGTTCAAGGGACCGAATTCTAACTCAAATAGCCAGCAAATATTCATTCTCTCATTTCACAGAATCTCATAAGTTCAAGAATCTAAAATTCTAGCTGAAATTCTAGCGGCAAACATTCATTGCACAGAATCTCATAAGTTCAAGAATCCCAAATTCTTAGTCAAATAGGCAGCTAACATTAAGTATTTGATGTCATTTATCAACTGATTAAAATACACAACATAAAAGCTCTTTAAATAAGTATAAAAAATATATTTATTATACATGAATTACTGTACAGTTTTATGGATATATCGTGTCAAACCTGGGTCACGTGGTGTTACATATATCAAGACAACTGTAAACGTGAGGCTACACTCCAAAACAAACACAGCACAAAAGACACCCGTGACAGCACTACGTCAGACGTCAGTGCCACACCGGAGTTCTTCCCGTCGCCGGACCGGAGCTGTGTCTTGAGGTTGACCCCGGCACACGCGGACTCACAGTCCGGCTCTGTCATGAAGTTGTTCTCGTTCCCGCCACAGCCGCCGTAGGTGAAGGTGCTGCACTTGCCCGTTATATGGTCGTAGAAGTACCTGGTCAAGGAGGCCCGGCACGTGCCCGTCGCGGGCTCCTTCAAACAAACCTTGACTGTCCGAGGGAGATAGGAGAGAGAGAGAGGGAGAGAGAGAAAGAGAAAGATATTAAAAAAATAGTAAAGTGTGTGAAAGTCCGACATTGTTAATAAAATACACTCCTTATCAATGCTAGTGTATGTCTGGAGCTAGACGCGTAGTAAGGGCTTAAGATAAGGGCCAAGGGTCCTGTGCAGAGAGGGTCATGGTATCATAGGCTTAAATCTGGTTTTCTAAATAATAATAATAATAAGCCTAAAACATACAGGACTGATGACTGAGGGTTTCAGACTTTAAACATCTCTCTCTCTCTCTCTCTGGACACTCGAAAGGCAATCGCCTCTTGACTCTTGTGACCTGTCAGTTGAGATTCTCGTTAGAAACAGTAGAGCGCACATTAGTTGATAGTGAAAGTGATTCACATGGTGCCCAGATCGTTCACATGGTGCCCAGATGGTTCACATGGTGCCCAACTCATTCACATGGTGCCCAGCTCATTCACATGGTGCCCAGATCGTTTGCATGGTGCCCAACTCATTCACATGGTGCCCAGCTCATTCACATGGTGCCCAGCTCGTTCGCATGGTGCCCAGCTCATTCACATAGTGCCCAACTCATTCAATTGGTGCCCAGCTCGTTCACATGGTGCCCAGCTCGTTCGCATGGTGCCCAGCTCATTCACATGGTGCCCAGCTCGTTCACATTGTGTCCAGCTCATTCACATGGTGCCCAACTTCACGTGGTGCGCAGCTTCACGTGGTGCCCAGTTTCACATGGTGTCCAGCTCATTCACATGGTGCCCAGCTTCACATGATGCCCAGCTCATTCACGTGGCGCCCAGCTCGAAGATGTTAGATGTTTACAGTAGTAAAAGTGACGCCATATTTGCGACGCTTGCATGCATGTCTGGACGGCTTAGGCTTAGAGTTCAGGCGTGAAATTATTTACATTTAAATACTGTCTTCAGTCTTCAGTGGCTGTTACTTAATTTAAAGTTATTGAACGAACTCAATTAAAATGTGTAACCCCGGGGGGGGGGGGGAGGGGGGTTTAGGGCCGGGGTTCTTACCCCCCTGGTGGTCCGGGGGGCAGTGCCGGGGGGTTGCGGGAAGCCTTTGAAAATCCAAGTTTATTTGCAGTTTTTTAAAGAATTTTTTTGGGGGGGGGGGGGGGGGGGGGGGGGGGGGGCTTAAGGCAGGGGTTCTTAACCCCCTGGTGGTACGTGAGGCAGTGTCGGTGGGTTGCGGGAAGACATTGAAAAATCAAGTTTATTTGCAGTTTTTTAAAGAATTTTTTTTTTCCGTGCCAGATATGGCGGTGGGGCGCCGCAAAAAAAAAACAAAACAAACAAAACAAAAAAATGGTTCAGAACCCATGACTTGACACATGACCTGGCCTTACCTTTACTGGCATCTAAGGCTGTCCCCTGCTTGGTGTCCTGTGTCCCTGGTTTGCACCTGGCCTCGCATTCCTCCTTGGTGTTGAACCTGTTGCCGTTGCCCCCGCACCCGCCGTAGTAGAAGTTGGTGCACGCGCCGGAAGTTGCGTCGTAGTAGTACTTGAAGTGCATCGCCTTGCAGTCTCCGATCTCCGCCTTCTGGTTGCAGATGTCGTCTGATAGAGTAGTTTGAATTGAAGTGAATACTTATTGAATACTCACATGGCGCTTGCAGCCATGCTGTTTTTGGTATATTTTTATTTGTGTACAAATTGCTGGTCGATCATGTAACCAACTGACTGATCGAATCTATAAATATCATATTCACCTGGTAGTTATTGTGTTTAAAAAAAATAAAATTCGATTAATTCCACTTTACTACAAACCGAGATCCCGATTATTACAATGCCACAATTCAGATTATTATAATGTTACACAATTCATTGTTACAATGTGACATAATCCAGTTTATTGGACACAGTTACTGTTGAATTAAGCCGTAAGATGAACTCACCTAAGAGCTCGTCTGCCATTTTAAGTTTCAACAATCTTTGACCTTATAAAATGACCATCAACAGCACGGTGGTGGTGTCGGTGTCAAATAACCCCCCCCCCCACCCCCCACCCCCCCCGACCCCCAGCCCCCCCCCCCGCGCCACCCACCTTTCGGTTCGGGGACTGCTCCACCTAACGTTTTGACCTGGGTGCAGCTCCTCTCGCACGTTTCCCGCGTGTCGAAGTTGTTGTCGTTGCCGCCGCAGCCGCTGTAGTGGAACGTGTAGCAGTGGCGGGAGTACGGGTCGTAGTGGTACCGGGTATGAGACTCCTTGCAGTTGCCGCTGTCGGACTTGAGGTAACAGTAAGGGGCTGGGGGAAAAAAAAGACAGGAGTCGCGTGCGACAGAAAGTATCTTGTGTGACAGAAATTATCTTGTGTGACCAAAAAATCTTGTTTGACCAAAGTATCTTATGTGACCAAAGTATCTTGTGTGACCAAAGTATCTTGTGTAACCAAAGTATCTTGTGTGACCAAAGTATCTTATGTGGCAAACAGTATTATTTTTTGTTGTGAAATGGATGATATGGGATATTTCGGCCTATTTCATCGTGGAACTTAAAAATTGAGAGTGATCGAGAGAGTGGGGGAAAGAGAGAGGAGGGGGGGGGAAAGAGAGTGAAGGGGGTAAGATGAAAGGATAGAATGATGGCTAAATGTAACCCAAATCTATTCAGTGCCCCCCCCCCCTACTTTCCATTGGTGTTTGTAATCCCTTCTGATGTGGCTGCTTCCTTTTCACACCCCCCCCCTTCTAAACCTTTTTATAGTAATTAGTGGAGACAAAAACACTGTCAAGCAGCTAGCGTCATGCGTGAAGGTTAAACTCAGTTAAAAAGGTTGAATTTTTTCAGAGGCAACTATTATATTAGCCAATAAAGAGCCACGGGTATAGTGTGGGACTCTCTGTAGGCCTATTGTTTAAAGGCTGGCAGGTATAGTGTGGGACTCTCTGTAGGCCTATTGTTTAAAGGCTGGCAGGTATAGTGTGGGACTCTCTGTAGGCCTATTGTTTAAAGGCTGGCAGGTATAGTGTGGGACTCTCTGTAGGCCTATTGTTTAAAGGCTGGCAGGTATAGTGTGGGACTCTCTGTAGGCCTATTGTTTAAAGGCTGGCAGGTATAGTGTGGGACTCTCTGTAGGCCTATTGTTTAAAGGCTGGCAGGTATAGTGTGGGACTCTCTGTAGGCCTATTGTTTAAAGGCTGGCAGGTATAGTGTGGAACTCTCTGTAGGCCTATTGTTTAAAGGCTGGCAGGTATAGTGTGGGACTCTCTGTAGGCCTATTGTTTACAGGCTGGCAGGTATAGTGTGGGACTGTCTGTAGGCCTATTGTTTACAGGCTGGCAGGTATAGTGTGGGACTGTCTGTAGGCCTATTGTTTACAGGCTGGCAGGTATAGTGTGGGACTCTCTGTAGGCCTATTGTTTAAAGGCTGGCAGGTATAGTGTGGGACTCTCTGTAGGCCTATTGTTTAAAGGCTGGCAGGTATAGTGTGGGACGCTCTGTAGGCCTATTGTTTACAGAAAAGGAGAGGATAAATTTTTTTGTAATACCCGGACCCGGTTTAAAAAACAAACTACCCCCGGTTAAACACTGGGTTTGTAGTCCTGAAACTATTGCCCTGTAAGAAATTCTATTTAATTTTTTTTTTTTAAATAAAACAGAAAAACATGACTCACCGTCTGCTTTAGACTTGCTCGTGATGGTCGGCCACCTCACCCCAACTAGGGCGTCGCCCATGCACTTATCCTCGCACTCTTCTTTCGTGGGGAAATTGTTCTCATTTCCGCCACAGCCGCCATACTTGAAGTTGTAGCAGGCCTTGCCCACACTGTCGTAGTAGTAGCGAGAGTGCAGCGCTCGGCAGGGTCCACTCTCCATATCCTTGAGGCAGAAGTCAGCTGGGGGAGGGGGAGTATGAAGTAGGTAAATATTCGAAACATTATATCTAACCAGGTATGCATTAACAACGTGGTGTGAATTTAGGAAGGTTTTCCTTTTGTCAGATTATTATTATTATTTTTTGTAATAAAGTGCATCACACAGCTTAGGGATTTTCTGAGAATACTTTTTTTGGCTTTTTCAATTTCCAGCTGAGCATAGTCATAAATCAATGTCATAAATACATGTCATAACTACTATTGGACCGCGCCCTCCCGTCCCTTGCAATCATGTCTAACTCCGCCCATCAATTTGACCCTGTTATTTCTAGACACCGGTTCAACCCGAAACATTGGCACGAGAACTCTTGGGGCATCCGCAGATTTCGTTCATCATCGTGGATGTTTCTAATCGTCCGCCGCTGACTCTAAACAGTCGATTTGTGAGCGTGGCTCGGCCGTCTTAGATTCCTACTTCCATCCTCCCGTCGCGGCCTAAAGTGTAATGTTATACACAGGTCACGCGTGCAGGACGTTGACCGGTGGGACAGGAGTTGTCGTCGACATTTTTGTTTAAGACTCCAAAATCGAATCCCACCAAGGAGCGAACGGCGACCACTGGAAGTTGTTTAATTTGGCCGGTGACCCCCTGACTGTCATAGAAACACCTGGAGTAAACCTTGTCTTGCAATACTAGACGTTACGAGGTAGGTCGTGGAGTTAAACAGGTTGGTTAAACAGGTTGGTCCTGGAGTTGAACTGGCTGACCCTTAAGCCTAATTATTTGACCCTGGAGTTAAACGCGTTGGTTAAACATGTTGGTCGTGGATTTAAAAGGGTTTTCTTGGAGTTAAACATGTTGGTCGTGGAGTGAAACAGGTTGGTTTAGGAGTTAAACAGTTTGGCCTTGTAGTTAACCAGGTTGGCCCTGGGCGTTTTCATAGCCACGTGCCACTGACTTTTGTCAAATGTACGCACCTATATAGGTGAATTGATCATAGATGTTTCTTACTGTAAATTTTTATTCAATACTTACGTATCTGGTGCGAAACGTGGAGAAATAGACAAAATATTAGCGTTTTCAGCGTCATTATGAACTTTGAACTGAACCGGTTAACTTTGAACTGTACTGGTGAACGTTGAAGTGCACTGGTGAACGTTGAACTGCACTGATGAACGTTGCAGCGCTCTGGTGAATGTTGAACTACTGGTGAACGCTGAATTATTGGTGAACGTAGAGCTGTAAACGTTGAACTGCACTGGTAAACGTAGAACTGTACTGGTGAACGTTGATCTGCACCGGTGGATGTTGAACTGCACAGGTGAACGTAGAAGCGCACTGGTGAACGCTGAAGATCTGTTCTGTCCTGAATGGGCAGCGACCTTCTCTGAAATAGACGCGATTTGATCCACCGCAGTGCCAGCGAGTGACTAACTATGGTCCAAGTAAGACCTATTATTTCCCAGTGAAATTTTTCCAGCGCCGTATCACCGTTCTAATGGTAAGGTGTGGTTTGGGAGACGCCACCCACGGGATATCGGGGTTAAAGGAGGAAAGGGGGTGGGGGGTGCTATTACGTGCTTGAGGAGAGTGACAAATCTTCGCCCTGTTGATCGTTGACTAGGTAGGGCGCAGCAGGACCCACAAGTGGTGTTGTTTCCTTCACACTGGCAACTTTTACAACACATGATTTGGGGGTGGGGTGGGGAGAGGTTAGTGCGTGGGGGACCGTCCATAAATCTGTCGCCAAAGAAAAAGCCCACCCTGTGTGCGATAGTAACTTAACGTCCACATTGCTTGTGCCAGGAAACCTTTATTTATTGCAGGGCCCACACCGGGCAGTCGCGATCTGCACTTGTGCAAAAATACTAATTGATAAATGTGTGTGAATATATATATATATATATATATATAT